AAAAAAATAAAAATAATGCGGAGATGTTTTGTTATGATAACTGCTGTTTAACGCCGCAGTACGCGTTCCGAATGTTATCACAAGAATGCTGAGTTATGGGCAAAAGTCGTGCCCCAGGCGGGAGTCGAACCCGCACCTCACGCTTTCCGGGCGAGTGCGCTATCCGTTACGCCACCAGGGCCGCTTTTACCCTCTCAGCTCAACGGCTTTTATGCCGTAATCTTACAGTACTCTCCCAGTTGAAAGTGTGAGGGCTGTAAGGCTACGGCATAAAAGCCGTTGAGCTGAGAGGGTAAAAGCCTCGACTCACGCCTGAGGTTCGACTTTTGCCCATAACTCAGCATTCTTGTGACAATGCGGAGAATTTTTTCGCGTGAGATTCGCATCTTTCAGTGGATACGACTTCGTTCAAACATAATGAGTGGGAGTGAAGCACTAGCCGGGATCAGGGACTAGAGGATGTCCTCTTTCTACTCGCAACATTTTCGCACCATGGCTACTAAAGCGGAAATTTACCCGTCGTGAATAGTGACCAAAATAACGAGGAAAATATTTTGCTGAACGCAGTTCTTGACCGTTCAGTGCACACAGCCTCGTTCGGGCATCAAGTAACGTGACGACCTACACAGTGAAAACTAAAATATCTCGTCTTCTCAGAAGCAAAATGTTTATCTTCTAGGTCTACAGCAAAAATTTGCTCGCCGTGGATTTTAGGACCAGAGTTTGCTTCCCCTGCAACAAAATGGTCCGAACCCTACATTGCTCACACTTCCATCTATGAACCTCCGAAGGTTTTCAGTACACTTTTTAAACTTGTAGTAATTAGGAATTGAAGTGCAGAGACTGATCAACCCCCCGATGGAATGCGCCTTGCGCTCGTCTTCCATTCAGAATCAGAAAAAAATGAACCAAACAATTCTCTTAGCCAGCTGACTAGTTCCTTGCAGTCAGACAAACGCGACATGTAACTTTGACATAGTTTCATTTACACTGCATTAACTTGTCATGAATTCCCAGCGTGGCGGGGAACTCGCACGGTAATGACAGGTACAAAAGCGGTTGCGGTGAACACTGCCGCTGCTCTGTTCGTTAGTGATACCTGCACAAACTATACCCTCCTGCCCACCGGCAAGTCATATACGACCCGTCGTCGCGGGTTCCGCGATCCACGCTTGACAGTGGTCGAATTTGCTAAGGAATGACACTGGCTGGGGGGGGGGGGAGAAAAGCGTATTGCTAGACTGGATCTCGCAAGACGTGAAACGAACCAGAATTACAACCTGGTGATCTCACTTCCTCATGAAAGCTCTGTACGGAAGGGATGAAATACCAGGCGTTGCCTCGAGCTTGAAAAAGCAGTTGCACTAGACTACTCGGGCAACAACCAGTGCAGACGCTGACGCCCGCTAGAGAAGGTCACTGACCAGTGGAACGACAGGCGACACAGGTACTTAGAATGGTTGCACGAATATCTCTAAGGACAACCGTATGTAACAAGGTTACAAGGTTCCCAGAATTTCTGTGAGTGCAGAGTGAGAAGCCCAGCCCAGACTAGTGAAGGCCTTCTGTTAGCCAATACCACACAATGAACACAAGGACAATTCGTTTCAGCAAAGCTCCGATAATAGGTAATGTAGTTCAGGTACGAACAACAAGGTACTATGTACTCAGGGGTGAAGGCAAAAAAGCCGAAGAAGTCATCCGGAATGCCCTATCTGGGACCCCCCTGCCGAAGGGGCTAATGCCGTTTGGACTCCAGCAACTTCGGCACCGAGCTCATTTTTAAATTGCCTAAGTTACCAAATCCGCTAAAAACTTGTATGTAGGGGTAGTTTAACATCCTGATTACGAATATGACATTCACTCTTGCCGCTGGCGCTAATGGATGACACTACGATTACCTGCGCTCCGCTAAGGCTGAGCCCAAGAGGTAATCGTAGTGTCATCCCTTGGCGCCAGCGCCAAGAATGAGTGTCATAATTGTAATCAGGATGGTAAATAACCCTTGTGTACATATTTTCAGCGGGTTTGGCGACTTAGGTAATTTAAAAATGAGCTCGGTGCCGAAGTTGCTGGAGTTCAAACGGCATTAGGCCTGGCCGGAAGGCACAGCTTGTTCGTGCAGACAATGAAGAGAGAGCGTGTTTGTACGTATTCTCACTTGCAGCATCATAACGATATCAGCTTTTTCCGTTATCACTTCACTCCCACCATACGGAATCGTAGCTGGTACGAGGCTACCAGCTAGCAGATAGTTGCCTCATGGATGTAAGGGGTGCTCAAGGGTGGGTCTAAATGTTCAGCTACCACTGGAATTATTGCAAATTCTTTTTTTTTCTGAATGCAGTGCGACCTCTACAATCGCCTACCGGATCATTCAATACATTTGATTGCTTATAGCCTCAGTTTATAAGTGCATTTAAGGAAATTCTCGAATATCATACCCTGGATCAAGCGGCTGTACATGTGTGGCATCGAAATCGGTGAGGTAGTGATCGCAGGCGGCAAACAGCCGCGCGCGACGTATCGCTATCTCAGCATCGTTCTTCGGATGCGCAGCTAATGCCCGATGTTGTGGGCTCATCGCAAGCCAACGATCAACCTGAAATAAAGCGATTTATATGGTGGAAAAACGTCCAAAACGGTCATATCTCGTGTTAGCTCTGACAACTTTTAATGCATATCGCCTCGATTGCCCAAAAAAGGAAGTCTCGGTAAAGAAAGAGCTAACCATAGAGAACAACTTGGGCGCTCATCACGCTCTAACATTCTAGCAGTCATTTCTATATATATGAAAAATATTTTGCACAAACTAAATACCTGTGAGTCAAGGTCCACCATCAGTTTAGGATGCCTTTGTTGGAGAACACCTTTGAGCAGGAAATTGGCCCTAAGAGCTATCTAGATTAGGATGGACGACAGTCTGTCAAGACAGTGGAAACGTACCTATTGCTAGCTCGACGCTGGGCCTCGGTTCCCGTATCATCAGTGGTCAAAATTTCTTCTTGTAGCCGACGGATAAGTTTCAAAGGTCCTTTGTACTTCGCAATCTTAAAAGGAAAAATGAGCAAAAAGAATCCAAACTATTTTTTATAGAACCTGTACTTACAATGGACTTGATATTGAGATCAAAATGGGTTCTTATGGCGTATTCGACAATATCAGAAAGCACCTAAACTCAGAGCTATGAAAAGAGTACAAAGAAAAGTTATCAATAGCAATAATTTGAGAAGACAAAAACCTTTGGCATCCTGGCTTGAGCCAGAGGCAGCACGTCATCGAATGTCGCATCAAGTATAACTGCTCTCACCTCTGAAATGAAACTTTGCAGGTTCACAAGAGCTGTGCTACAGCTATAGCCGAGAAAAACAGAGTTCACGTCTCCTTAAAAACATTGCGGACGCCATACTGCGCACATCGCCGTGCCATTTCATGATTTTTCATAGTTAATATTGAAAATTTGTACTTATTCTCCATCTCTCATGAGGTATTAGGTATCTTGCATAACCGAATGTGTGTTTTGGCAACATAAGAACTTGAAAGAAAAGCCAAGTTACTCAATTAAATCACCGCCAAGAGACGAAATCATGGCACACCATGTGTGCACGCGTCCGAACGTGTTAAAGAGCCGAGAAAAACAGAGTTCACGTCTCCTTAAAAACATGAACTAGCTGAGATGTCACTAGGAAGGGGAAGTGGAGGATAGGATGGGAAGACACGTCGCTCATGTGCGCACCAACTTCACACAGAGTAATACAAGAACTCAAAGGATAAGGTATTTATGAGCTTTTCCTCATCTGTGAGCGCTTTCACCATGTCCCCCCCCTACCTCATCATCAGAAGGTGAAGAGAATGGTCATCGTTGAGATCGAAAAAGCTCGCGGTATTTGCTTTAGATTCTGTAGGGCACACTGAAAGCAGCTTCCCGTTTTCACCTCAAAAAAAGTGACTGTCTTCTCTTCCCATTTTTTAGCACCTGACCCCCTTTTCCATTGCAATTTCTTTGCGTGAGCTTGGAAGCTTCGCTAACTTCCTTTAGAACCTATAGTTCTAGTCAGGTGAGTTGCGCTTTTTAAAAGTTTCACTTTTCACTTCTTCAAAATCTATGATCTCTCTGGTGCGCTTCTAATGCAATACAGCAGAGAACGTTATGATCGTCTCATTCTAAAAATATTTCTGTTATTTCTATGGCTGTGTAGGGGAAACTAAATTCAAAAGAATACACTGAAAGGATTGTTGACGGTTCAGGACACCTTTCCTGTGAGTATAATGGCGAACTGAAAGAATTTTCGAATTTACTAAAAAATGAAGAGAACAATAAGGACCCACTTGGATAATTAGCAGCCAGCCAGCTGGCTGGGAATCCTCCAATCGACCAGCCGAACAAAACAATGTCTTGCTCGCGATAGCCTAGCTCACTCTGTGCATACTGAAAAAATACTACATCATCAACTTCCATGGACTTATAATATTAGGTTGTCCGAAAAGTTCTCAGCGTTTTGTGTTACTATTTTTTGTACATTCATTGCTGATTAAAAACTCATTCTCTCCTTGCGTCTCCCTGAAGAGAATTTTTTGCGCTATCTGATGGTATAATTGCCGTTTCACCATTGCTTGATAAACCCCCTTTTCCCAAGACTTTTTGAAGCATGTCAAAAGAGCAACTTCGGACGATATTTTTCTTCAACTACAAATTGGGTCAATCCGCAGTCGAGACAGCTCGACAAATTAACCAGGTGTGGGGGCCCAATAGTGTTGGAGAAAGCACCGTGCGACAATGGTTCGACAAATTTCGTTCTGGAGATTTCAGCCTTGAAGATGAACCTCGTCGACCTAAAGCAATACCTGACGAGGATTTGAAGGCGTTTGTGGAGGCTGACCCATCCCAAACAGTTCGAGAGATTGCAGAAAAGCTAGGCGTTGGCAAATCCACTGTTGCGGATGGTCTGAAACGCACTTGGGAAGGTGAAAAAACTCGACAAGTGGGTGCCCCACAATTTGAGTGACCGGCAGAAATTGGCACGTCTCGAGGTTTCTTCTTCACTGCTTTTGCGCAACAGAAACGACCCGTTTTTGGACCGAATTGTCACCTGTGATGAAAAATGGGTCATGTATGATAACAGGAGACGTTCCGGACAGTGGTTGGATTTCGACGAACCACCGAGGTAATTTCCAAAGCCGAATCCTCACGAAAAAGATTATGGTCTTAGTGTGAGGTCATCGGCTGGTGTGATCCATTATAACTTTTTGTCACCAGGCCAAACCATCACAGCAGAGTCCTACTGTGAAGAAATCGACGAAATGTACCGAAAATTGCGTCAGCTGCAGCCAGCACTTGTCAACAGAAAGGGTCCGATTCTTTTGCATGACAACGCCCGCCCACACGTTTCACAAATCACTATCCATAAATTGAACGAATTGGGGGTTGAAGTTCTACCTCACCCGCCATATTCTCCAGACCTTTCACCAACCGACTATCACCTTTTCAAACATTTTCAGAACTTCCTTGCTGGAAAATACTTCAGCAATCAGGACCAGGCCCTCGTGGATTCTCGACCACCCAGTTTTTTTCCTTTGATGGGATTTATCGACTGGTGTCACATTGGCAAAAGTGTGCTGATTCGAACGGTGCTTATTTCGATTGAATCCGATGAGTATTAAGAAAGTTATGATTTCAGTGTTTCATTAGGCGTTATGACGCCTAGTGAAACACTCAAAACGCTAAGAGCTTTCCGGACAACGTAATATAACTTCCTACCTGCATAACAGCATCGGCGGCAGCCAATGTATTGTTCGGGAAAGGAAGACCTGAACTTTGCCCGAAACCAGGTTGATTCCACCCGAGAACCTGAGAAAGCGAAGCTCGTGACAGCTCATGGCAATGGGATTACAACAAATTATTTGGCAATGAACTCACAGAATAACCCATTTGGGCCGGGGTATTGGCAATCCCTATTTCATAATAACCTGCGTTTCCTTCACAAGAAATAACTAGTATGCGATTTCTGAAATAGCAAAATAGCAATACTCAGCGTGGATGGAAAATATGCAATACTGCAGCGGCGAGCAATCCTCAGCGCGCTTTATGTGGAAAGCGCCCGAATATAAGCTGGTGACCTCCTTCAGAAAACCAGTTTTATCATTTTGATAAGTGGCGTGCACTTCAAATCAAGTATTAGGGGTGCGGAAAGTTGTGAAAATTTCCAAGCAGTTCGCATCATTTATTAAAAACAATAAGAGATAGAAATCGACAGTTGTAATAAACATTGTGCTTTCCATTTCCCTTAAAGGCAGTTGGCACCATAAATTCGTAAAAGGAATAGGATGAATACGCCTGGAGAGACGGTCCGCGCCACCCCTATCAAACTGCACCATACCGACCCGGACGTCCACCGCTCCCGCAGGCCCACAAATGGACGACCATGCCTGATGCTCGTACTGCTTCATTTGCTAAGTAAAATATGAAGCGAAGGGATTGATATGAAGCGGCTGCGGTGCTGCATGGATATATGAGTGCATACGTGCAGCCGTATCTACCGTAGCGATTACTTGGCAGGCCTGAACTCGTCCATTACTTTCTGAATCATCTGAAAGAACGAAGGCTTCTTCGCGGGTTTTTGACCGTTTCACTTCGTTTCTCCGCCATTTTCCCACTATATAGAACCGTGCCAGCATTTTAGACCGAGTACCGAATCATCGTGCCATATGAGTAAAATTATTCTGCATGAAAGCTAGGCTGAAACTGGTACCGAAAAACGACGACCGAAGCTGGAATTCAACACCGCAATACAGGTTGAAAGGTAATTTCACGGAGTGTTCCGGCTAGCATTGGCAACTGCGCCTTATCCTCCATTTTGCTGATAGAGCAGCCCAGAAGGCGCTCGCTATTTTTCTGTTAATGTTCATTCAAGCACAGGTTAGGAATAATATCAACCAGCGCCGTACTTAAAGACTATCCCGCGATCATGTGTTACGGGCAGTAGGTGGTCAATTGTGAACCAGTAGCCCATACGTAACTCCTCGGTAGAGAAGCGAAAAAACCTTGGGAACCTCTTAGCAGTGGGGGAGGGGGCTTGAACGAGTTTGGCGGACGTCGGCAAGCCCAGTCAGCAGGGTTCGACGTGCAACCAATTCCCGGCAAGGCACAGGGAATCACACTACGACCTCCGCGCAACGCTACCCACGCGATTCCCCTTGTAGGCCGCAGTCTCGCAGAGTGAAAGTAATCGCGGTTGCAATGGTTGCAATAATCACGCGCCTCTAGCTTTTTATTTCGAAGTTTCAAGTGACCAGAATGGCATATTCTGTGCGAATGCGAATGCGAAATGCACGGAGGCATTTTGCAGACCACCTGGTCGCAGGAACTGTCTTTAATCTACAGTCTTTCTCATAGCTCTCAGTGCTATACGATTTTGCGTCGGCGCATTGCTCGCTACGCTCCTTCGAACAAAAGAGCGAACTTTTCTCAAAACCTACTGGACAATTCGAATTATACTTAGCGCTTGAATCTCGCTATATAAGCTACACCTCTGTTTTAATAATTAGCAGACAAGCCCTCACCTATGCTCGGGAGTCTCTTCTCCACGTATATACATCGTATCAATCAGGTCGCCTTCAGTCGATCTGAGCCATGCTCTTTTGCCATGCTAAATAGTTGTTGTGTATCACACGAAAAACTATTCAAATACGTTTCCAGACTTTGAGACCAAACTCTCCCACCTTCGCTGATACCATTAAATTCCTTGCTTGTAATAAACTTCCACTCAGAAGCCAGTTCAAAAGCGAAACTGATCCTGGATAAAGCATGTGCCGACCGAAAGCATGTACTGCGTACCAGGCGGCGCACATTACTAGAGGACCACCTGTAGTGCAAAATGTATGAAAATGTTCGGGTATGAGCTAAAGCTGGTTGCACTCACTGTCTCCAGATGCCCCTCGATGAAAATACAAGTTTTCGTTTCGAACAGCATGAAAATCGGCGTTAACGCCTTCGAGATCAAAATCGTAACGCTTCAGCGCCTTTAAAAATAATTTCTAAAAAATAGCCACATCTAAAAACGGCAAAGCTAACTTTGATGTGTTCATTTTTTCATTTTGTTGCTGATTCATTTTGAGGGTTTCATGTCCACCATCCAGCATGTTCCCCCTGGGCTTGTTCTAATTGGCATACATTGTTATTGCGGTATGTTTTTTGCATGACACCCGGCAATGATCGAAGCAACAAAACAGCATCAAAACTGAAATTTCTGAGGATAAAACGAGCATGTGTCCTCATCCTTACTACTCTTGAATAGTTTGTTTAAGCTGACTTTCGTTAGCAAAAAGTTAAAAGTCCAACAAGAACGTGCTTATGCGAAGAGGTTTTCAGGCGAATTTTGCATTCGATTCACATTCTGAAGCGTTTTCTACAAAGGAAATAAAAAAAAAAAATCGTTAAAAGCAAGTCGAATGTCATAATACGCCAAACGAGATTACTAGATGCAAGCCTTTGATTGGCCTAATGTTATTTGGACGCCTCTTTCGCGTCTCTCTTCAAAGGCCCAAGATTTCACAGTGCGCGAGCCACAGCTCTACGCTTGTTAGTGCTCAGAAGAGCTAGGTAAGGACGAAGTGGGGAGGAACGTTGTCTTTACGTAGTTTTCACTCACACACGCAGTGTTGTGTGAGCTGCCGGAGAGACCTACGGCCCCGAAAGAAGCCGAGAAAGTCGAAACGTATAGGCCAAAAACGGTGTCAGTCATCTAACAACTTCGTTCGCAATTAATTGATTAAGTAATTGATTAATTAAGTAATTGAACATTTGACATCATGCCGAGGTTACAGGAGGACAACAAAGAGATTTTTTGATTGCAAAGAAGACGAATCATTCCGGTTTGCTCTTACTTACTGTTGACATACCAGGGACAGTCTACAGGTCAACCCTAATGCAATGAGCACATAGTTGTAACGTCTTCAGAGGGCGAACCCCAATCCGTTTTCAAAATTAGCGGAACAGCTCTCTGAACGGAGTTATGGAGCTTTCTTCCCCGCGGTTTCTTCTTGAAGGCGATCGCGCAGATGGGCCGACCCTTACAATACGCGCAGAACGGTTGTGAAATTCGTATTCAGAAAGATCTAGTAACTTAGGACGGTTCACTCCAGCGAAATCTGAGATTTTCATTCAACTTCGAAAAAGTGGGGTTGGAACGCTGAGTAACAGCCCACAAGGGTCTAGCCCTTGTGGGCTGTTACTCAGCGTGTACACAGTCACCGACTGCCGTGGTACAAGGCTGACATCGAACACTTGAGTTTCGATGTCTTTAAGGACAATAAATAGCTCACGTGTTATCTGCAACATTTCCTTGTTTACTTTATTTTTTTATTCGGAGGAAACTTCACGATAGCCATCGATGCGACCTGTTAGCAATGCCATTCACACCAATGTGTACATTGTACCGGTTTTCTGAAGATGTTCAAAATCTCAGTTTTGGCCTAGAAACTCGTTCTCTCAGAGGTAATGCAACTCGCTGAACATTAAACATCTTGTTTTTCTGAAAGACCAAGAATGAACTAAAACGAGTGTCTGTCTATTACAAATGAATTCCTGCCGTTTGTATCAGAGTGCGAGCTGCAGTAAAGACCACAGGCGCTACGACAGTTTTAACTTATGCACCACATCGAGATAAATGAGTCTCATTCGTCTTTAGTAGTTCAATTGACACACAGCGTGAGCGAAGCTCCGCACGGTGAGATCTCTTGAGTCTTTAGCATTCAATGCCAAGCGGGGACGGGCGCTACTTGGTCGGGAAGCTAACAAATCAAAAGCCTTTCCGCAGCCTCAGGCTTCTGAAGAAGTTGAGAAGAGGTTGTAAGCATTAAGCCAATAAAAAGGTTTCATCTACAACCCTGTTTCGATAGAGGTAATTGAGCAACCCATTGCATGGAATGAAGGGACACGTCAACCGTGCAGCCTTCCCCATGTTCATGAGCCAACTATCCCCGCTCTGGCACCGCACATGGTCAGCTATGTTGTTACACGCTTTCAATATTCTAATCCCTATTGGTTGATGAGAGACACCTGATTGTAGGCCTCGACGCAAATGCAACGACTAAATGCAAAAATTAAGTACATGTACCAAAAATCTATGTTGAGAAGATAACAGTTGCTAGCAGCACAGAGCGACGGCTGGGACTGCGGTGTCAGGCTATTGTAGCTTAGGCGACTGCCGTTTTAATTTTGAAGTATCGACCTTCAACTTCGACCAAATTGAGGGTCATAGCTTATTTTTGCGAACAATGTAAGTGAACTTTAGCGGAATCGCGGAAACATACCTGATTATCCTCAGATTTACCCGAGCCTTTAGCTTTCAGCCATACGTTAATAAAATGCCGATACTCATGGTCCATCGTCCTACCAACAAGCCTTAAAATTTACGATAATGAAAAATTTTTGATGTATGTTTTGCGCTTGCCGAGGAGTGATGCTCTCGCTGCATCATCCGGCATTAAACGAGAGCTTTCGCGCTCTATATGACATTTACAAGTACAAAGGTATGCAGTTCCAACCTACAAGTACAACAGTATGCACTTTCACTCGTACTCGACTAGTGAATCTTAATATTTCGCAGAGATCTTTTAGAGACAGTCCCACACTCAACCAGTTCGTAGACGTCCTTCCTCGTACAAGTGGTCTGGTCGGCGCTGTTTATCGACAGGGGGTGGGGCATTTTGTACTATCACTGCTTCCCTTGCGTCCGTTGCAAATCTCGCAATTGCAAATCTCACTTTTGGTAAAACTTTCTGAATGCTTTGTAAAGCTGGAGCGAACCTGGATCGTCTAAGCCACCATCCCAAACGTCGTCAACCAAGAAGCCGCTACTAGATGGCGGGTCGACACATCTATGAAAAGCAAAATGCCCCCCTGTCGATAAATTGCGCCGATCTGGTCCTTAGCCTCTATGACCGTCCCACTTTCGCGGCTACTGTAACTAACGAAAGCGCTGTGACCTTCTAAAATGGCAGTACTGGTGCTCCTAGTTGTTTCCGCCACCAAAACTCAAACGCTACTTCTTGTCACAGCGTTCAGGTTTTGCCCTGCGTTTTTTTTTCGCTTCGGATGGTGCCAGCACTGGCAACGCGATGGAAAACTAGTGGGCGACAGAGGTGGTGTTCTGTCCTATTGCCGGCATAAAACGAGAGTGGGTGCCTGACAAGTCGTACCAGTGAGCTTTTACGGGTACGGCTGCTCTCACGAATTCACTTTTCCAGATAGCTATTTAACGGCTACAGGTTTGAAACTGAACGCTACTAGCCACAATATGCAATCGAGGGGTTTGCCGTAGGTAATAGTTCAGCATATATCGTGCATGCCTATTCTTGTCGATTTTAAAGTAAAGTTAACAGCTCCGGAGAATGCTGCAGCGCATAAATAGAAGCCTGAATAAAGTGACTTGTTCCAACAGCACTCACCTTCCACCGTAAGCTAGCACAGCTAAATACGTCGCGTATTTCAAAACGACCAAACCAGTGTGAATATTCAACGCCCCTCGGCTATAGAGAAAAATGAAGAGTATTGGAGAAAAGGCTAATGAAGTCGAAAAATAAAATAATCCTGAAAGCAAGTTTTACAGCAACCCTAAGGTAATACGGTGGATACCCACAGGAAAGAAATTTGACCTTACCTCTTCCTATAGACATGGAATAATTTCCTATAGATTCCACAACATTTGGTACACGCTCAGGCTGGCCAAACGTTCGATAAAACCGAGGACCAGTTAAAAGAGCATAGATACGCCCCATAACTTAAAAGAGCTTACATCTAGAATTTACAATATGGTTTTCACATAGAAAGATATCAAAGGACATGGACCCCATAGACAGAAGCTCTGATAACAAAAATTCAATCTTTATTCTTTGTACAAGGGAAAGCCACAATAAAGTGAGGTACAGGAAAACAACAACATAGACTTTAAGGCGATACTTCTTCTTTGACGAGATCTTGGCCTAATGATTCTTTACTCTGCTCCTCACATGTGCTTTCCTTCTGATTACTTTGTTCGTTCTGAAAAACGAGGTTTGAGGTAGCACAGAAACACAATTTCATGCAAAATGGAAGGACAAAAAAGTAAATCAAATGGTACATGAAAAAAAACAATAAAACTTTATGGCGATACTTCTTCTTTGACGAGATCCTGGTCTATTGATTCCTTAGCTTGCTCCTCACATGTGCTTTTCTTCTCACTGCTTTGATCATTCTGAAAAAGGAGATGTTCAAGGCAGCAGTGAAACACGACCTCTGAAAAAGCGACTGAAAGGGCTTGAAAGTTACGTTGTTAAACATGACAGAGTGGGACTTACGATCGAAAACGCAGGATTTTGCATTCAGATTCGAGAATAAATCGGACCATTGTCTCGATTCGCGTTACCTCTGCAAGGCAACAGTACCTAATCCTTTCATTCTATAAACCAGTAACTTTGTGTGTCGGTTTGTATGTTTGTAGGTATGTATGTATGTATGTATGTCTGTCCGTCCGCAAAATGCTTCACGGGTTCGAGTTCGCTGGAGGAGAAAACGACCGCTAGGCAAACCGGTAACCGACTGGGAGGATGTAGCAATCCAATGATTTGATTGTGATAACAGCCTCCGCTATAAGACAACCATTCGGTACACTCCGAGCCATTGCACGAGCTGCTGCCGTGGCAGCTGGACGTGTGCTCGTGCGGGGGCAGGTGGGGGTGCCAGGTCGCCCTGCCTCCCTCTCCTGCACGTGCTCAGCCGGAGCTGAGCACATGTATGGGAGGGAGGCAGAGTGAAGGGGTTCCGAAGAGGTACACGGAGGGGTGCGTAGCGCGCGCTTGAGTAGAAACGCGCAGCAAAGGAGGAGGAAACAACCGGTAAGAAAACCGCTAGCTAATCCATGTTACCGTTACGAACTGAAAAGTTGTTTTGGTCATGATAACACTTTCCACTATATAAGAGGACCACCACACTCCGAGCCATTGCTTGGGTTGCTCGTGTGGCAGTTGGACGTGAGCGCGTGCAAAGGGCAAGATGGGGAGGGGAGTGGCGAGTACGGAATGGTGTGAGGTGAGGAAGATGGGAGTGGGTACCGAGTGACCCCTTCTCCTATCCTCACTACCTTGCGCGTGCTCAGTCGAATTTGAGCCCATGCAGAGGGATTGGATCGGGCAAACTGGGTACACCAATGCGGTATGTAGCGTAGGAGCAGGAAGCAAGAGAAAAGGTAAAGAACCGCTAGCAAAACTGCAAGATAATCCATGTCGCATCGACGAACTAAGAAGTTGCTTGGATTGTGATATCGCTCTATGCTATACATGACAACCACTGTGATAGACTCTTAGCTATTACACGAGCTGCTCGCTTGGAAGCTGGACGTGGCACGAGCAGGGCGGTGGTAAGAGCAGCGGCGGGGAGTGTTCTATTAGGTTGTCCGGAAAGTTCTCAGCGTTTTGTGCACCTATTTTTTGTACATTCACTGCTGATTAAAAACTCATTCTGCCTTGCTTCTCAGTAGCACATCCTGTAGAGAATTTCTTGCGCTATCTGATGGTATAATTGCCGTTTCACCATTGCTTGATAAACCCCTTTTTTTCAAGATTTTTTCAAGCATGTGAAAAGAGCACTTCGGACGATTTTTTCTTCGACTATAAATTGGGGCAATCCGCAATCGAAACAGCTCAACAAATTAACCAGGTGTGGGCCCAATAGTGCTAGAGAAAGCACTGTGCGGCAATGGCTCAACAAATTTCGTTCTGGAGATTTCAGCCTTGAAGATGAACCTCATAGCGGTCGACCTAAAGCAATATCTGACGAGGATTTTAGGGGGATTTGGAGGCTGACCCATCCCAAACAGTTCGAGAGATAGCAGAAGAGCTAGGCCTTGGCAAATCCACTGTTGCAGATGGTCTGGAACGCATTGGGAAGGTGAAAAAACTCGACAATTGGGTGCCCCACAATCGGAGTGACCGGCAGGAATCGGCACGTCTCGAGGTTCCTTCTTCACTGCTTTTGCGCAAAAGAATTGACCCGTTTTTGAACGGATTTGTCACCTGTGATGAAAAATGGATCATGTATGATAACAGGAGACGTTCCGGACAGTGGTTGGATTCGACGAACCACCGAGGTAATTTTCAAAGCCGAACCCTCACGAAAAAAAGATTCTGGTCACGGCTTGGTGGTCATCGGCTGGTGTGATCCACTATAACTTTTTATCACCAGGCCAAACCATCACAGCAGAACCCTACTGTGAAGAAATCGACGAAATGTACCGAAAATTTTGTCAGATGCAGCCAACACTTATCAAAAGAAAGGGTCCGATTCCTTTGCATGACAACGCCCGCCCACACGTTTCACAAATCACTATCCATAAATTGAACGAATTGGGGGTTGAAGTTCTACCTCAACCGCCATATTCTTCAGACCTTTCGCCAATCGACTATCACCTTTTCTAACATTTTCAGAACTCCCTTGCTGGAAAATCAGGACCAGGCAAAAAAGCCTTAGTGGATTTCGTGAATTTTCGACCACCCAGTTTTTTACTTTGATGGGATTTCTCGACTGCTGTCACATTGGCAAAAGTGTGATTCGAATGGTGCCTATTTCGATTAAATCCGATGAGTATTAAAAAAGTTACGATCGTTTAAAGTGAAACACCCAAAACGCTGAGAACTTTCCGGACAACCTAATATGTTGCACCAGCTGTTCACGTGGTAGTGACCACGTGCGGGAGTGGGTTAAGTGGGTGAGTGGGATGATGTGGTGACGTACCAGATGAGTACGGCGAATCCGCGATCAGTAGCACGTAGCGACTGCGGCGGTAAGGCGTCTACGGTTGCGATAAGATGAGAAGAAATGGATCGACCGCAATCGGAACTGAACCGATTAATGTTGCATTATCAAATTGTGGTAGCGTTTTGATAGTCAACACCTCCACAACATAACACAACCATTTAGTGCACTCAGAACCATTGCACGGGCTATTCGCGTAGCAGCTGAGCGTGACCTGTAGGGTGGCTGAGCGGGGAATAGCTGAGGTTAGTTTGGGGATAGGTGAGGTGAAGGGGTACCATATTGGCGCGACCGACGCTCGCCTGAACAGGAGCACGCAGCGACTGCGGAGACCGAAGAATCCGTGGCTGTCATAAGATGGGGAGGAGAGTAATCGATTATCCATGACCAGATTTTGAACTTTTCATTATGAAAGTGCCCTGCGATCATATGGCGCGTTTCTACATTTATTTGATTAGAAGACAGCGGTTAGTCACCATGAGAGCATCATAAATGCCTAAGACAGTAGTATCGCCCTGCTTATGCCTTACTTTGCTCCTTTCTTTCACGAGTTAAGAAGTGAGGCTCTAAAGCAGTTGCATGAGCCCGGCGAAGCCGGGCTTCCAAGAAGGAGGAGAGCTCGGCGTTAGCCGGGCGACTGGTGGTGAATATATCACAAATCAACAAGCACATTAGCTAATCAGAAACACACTCTATGACGAGGACCTACCCCATGGAAAACAGTAGATCATGGAGAAGCTCGGGGACCGCGCAAGGAAGGGTAATTGAGCAGCTTTATTACTCAGTATATGCGCTGCATGCTGGAGAGAAAAGGAAATTATTGAGCGTATGCATAACAGAACACGTGGCGCTGATTAAAAATCTGTAAAGGAATAGAACCACAACGTGGCTTAACGTCAAGCGTACGATAGTGAACTGCGTAGATAAGACAGGGGTCAGATTGACACTAGAAGCTTTCTGGAGGAAGTATCAGAATCCTAGTATCAACAGCCGGTACGGATCATGCCAGTAACTCCTGAGTTTTTGGTCTGGCCTTCGCTGGGTGAGCTCTTGAAGCCGAGAAGTTAGTCGAGTGAAGTCGATAATAAGTGAGAAATGTCTCTAGGAAGACAGTCTTACTGAAACCTGTGGCTCAACAGAACATCCCTTCATAAAAACCGATTAGGCACTGATCACTAGCTATGGCGTTAGCCCGCTTGCGAAAGCAGGGGCATTTTTCTAAATGTATGCAAAGAAAGGTGAAGATACCGGTTTTATTTTGCAGACGGTTGATTGCAATCAAGGCACCTTTTGCTAACGAATGGGTTGAAAACGGGCCCAGGCTAGCTATTAATCGGAAACTAGACGATCCTCGTTTAAGGAGAGCTCGCGTGGCTATTGTAGTATTGATTCTTGAGCTGTCACGGTAACAAACATGATCAGAGTGACCCAACCATAGAAAAGGGTGGGGTATACCCGCGAAAAACTACTCGAGGTTAGCAGAAGCGCATCTCATAGAATACGAGATTTGTTTTTTCAACTCGAAGGAGTTGGTTCACCGGTCCCGGAGCTCCTTCCTCTTCTCGGATCAGGCAAAAATCTTCGTCCCAAGCTTGCAGTAATTTTTAGCACCTTCCTGCGCTGAATGCCGTCCAGCGAAAATTGAAAAGGTGCTGAAAAAGTGAAGCTCGTAACGATACATCCCTACTGCACTCAACCGTGCCGAGTAACTTCAGCATGCGGAATGAAGATTGTATCACTTCCGAACCTTAAAGGGACGCCCCGCCTTCAGGTGGCTGTGAGACTCCTTTGGAAATGATGGTTCGGCTTACAAACATTTAGGATGTACTACTCCGCAGCAAAAAAATATGCAAAGGAATTCCCCGCGCTCGCGACGGGGCTACGGCTCCGCTCACTGACCACGGCAGCGCTCAACTTTCATTTTCAAGCGCTGCTTGGCGGTACGATTGTCACTACAACACTCCTAATGGTCAAGGTGAGATGGTAAGGAGAAAAAGGTGGCAACAAGAAGGGTGAACTCGTCCGATTGCGCCCTTTCCTTGTTTTATGGATGTACAAACGCGGTTCAATTCAGCATGGAATTCGGGGCGGGGGGCGTTTCAGGCGAGTTTCCAGTGCTCTTTCACTTTTCAGTTCGCTACATTCTTATCATTGCTCCTGAGCTGCGCAAATCACCATTCTTTGACGCAAAGCGTGCCTTTCAATCTTGCAGGAGTGTACAAAATTGACCCGTGTGTCGTCAGTAGTTCAAAAAATACCCCTGCCAATCCTCAATGGCGTTTGCCTAGTCTACTAGTCAGAACCGCAGCACTAGTTCGAGGATCGTCCGTTTTCATCTCATACCGATGTGACATTCTTGTCCACGGCGACAAGGGCCCCGCTCCTAACAGGGAAGTAAATTACGTCAATATTACCGCCCCGGTTTTGAAAGAAACATGCGTTAGTGAAGGTGGAGAAAGTTTTTTGAAATGAGGCAGTTTCTTTACCTCTGCATTTGTTGCTCAAAATTCTTACTAGCTTAGACTGCTGCTCGATAAGAATGGTTTCAAAGCATCGCTGTGTCATGGGGAGAAGGAAACGAAAGTACAACAACATGGAGATGACATAAATGACTTAGCAACCATGCAAAACCTTCGAATGTAAAAAAAGGAAACCACAGCTTCTAAATATAAGACCAACCTCATTGCCACTTCCTTCTTCTTCATCGGAGCTATCTGAGCTTTCTTCACTACTTTCCTCGTTTTTCACCTTAAGAAAGAAAAAAAGTCTTATGGATAAATGGAGTGATTGCATAAGAAAAAGACATATCTCGATGAAACTCACCTTTTTCCGCCTCTTTGCTCTCTCCTTCTTACGCAGCCGTTTCGCCCTTTTCTTTGCCGTGCGCTCCGCTTCTATCCTTTCTATTTCTTCCTTGTGCTTCCTGTTGGGAGAATAATATGTGATAAAAATCTTTCAGTAGTAATCCACCATATGTTTAAGTGTAACTCACCTATACTGCTCATCGAGCTCTTCTGTCTCCGCTACTTTAGCTATGTAATCTAGTCGATTTTGTTCTTTCTTACGATTGATCCTGCAATTGCATTTTACATTTAAAATAATCGTCCGATTATAAGACGATTTCATGGCTCCAACATCAGAAGCTGAGCCACTTCACCTAACTCTGTGACAAGTTTTACTAGTTTGTCTCAATGAAGAACAAATTGAGGCAGCTTACCGCATCTAGGGAAATCTCCTATTGGGAAATACTGAGAGAGCGACGTGAAAGCAAGCCGGTGTTCCCCAAAGGTGCTTTTTATTCACCTCTTGTCGGGATGAATCGTATAAGGAATGCCTAACTTGATTCAAAGCACGTCATTACAATGAGAAACCTTTTCTCAACCCTGCTCCCACCTACTATCGAGTAATTCTCAACTTGTGCCTATTCCTTCCCGAAAGGGTAGGGATTCACTTTTGAAAGCCTCTTTTCTTGTTTTCCCTCCCTTGAAAGGTATAAGTGGAAAAACAAAACATCATAATAGAACATGGGAAAGTTGATGCACCTGTAGATATGGTATTCTGCACTTCCTGCTGCTGCGGACGAACCGACGACATTTCTGACAAATTCTGGAGGTGGACGGGGAGGCTTGATCTCGGCGCGACGTGCAGGTATTGGTGCAGGCTTATTCTGAAAAAGAAATTGGAAAATGATTATTTTGACACTAGAAAAGTTTAAATGTAGAAGAAAACTTTGAACAATGCTGTAAAAAAACATGTCTCTATGGTTACCACACACCTCCTTTCTGACCCCCTTTCTGAAGAACTTGTATCTTCGATGTTTGCAATGCCAGACCTGGCCACCGACTACGCTACAACAAACTTTCAAGACAACCAGCGGCTAAAGACAAACCTAGTGGCTTCAATAAAGTACCTACCTGAAGTTGCTAATGAGGCTCTACAGGTAGAAAAGAAAGCCAAAAAGTCATGGAGAACACCCTGAGGACAGTTAGACAGCCTCACTATACAAGCTCTTAAGACCTGGTCGTTTTAAGCCAGCAAATCGACAACCTGTCGCCTCTGGCTTTCGATGGTTTCTTTTGCGGCAGCCAGTATTACCATATAAAAACGAAAAAAATATGAGAAACACGACCTAAAAACCGAACGCGTGGCAGACAACAGGATTTGAGTTTTGGTAGGCGGGGCAACTAGGGAGGCGTCAGAACTGCCACTCATAAGGGCCGCAGCGCCTTCGTTTCCTCTTGTGAAGCCACGAAAGTGGAACAATCTTAGAGACTGCGGGCCAGACTACCTGTACAAGGAAGGACGCTAACGAATTGCTTGAGCGCGGGGACTGCCTTTGAGAGGAGAGGGAAGGGATCATTTCGACGCAACGGGAAAGAAAGCAGATAACTAGAGTTGCGCTCTGGCCCTACTATTAACGCGTAATCCCTCCCGACTACTTTAGCGCCCTAATTCTCTCTAGTTTACCATTATGTTATCATACGTTTCCACCCAGAGTTTTTCTCAACTATTAAACTTTTTAGCATTGAGACCATGCGTAACACTTACGATGTTCTGCTGCAACCTCTCAAGGCGCATCCGCAGCAGATCCGTCGCTGTATGAGCTCTTCGTTCTTCCTCAACTATCGGATCATCTCTTGGCATTGTGGATCTGAAACGCTCGAAACTAAGCATTTTTGTCAAATCGAGAGAGATGGTAGAGTTCACGTCGGACACCCAGACAAACAAAACATAAAAAGTGGGCAAGAGCTCACTCCTCAATCAAATACGCAAAATCAAAAAGGAACAACTTCTGCTGAAACGAAAGAACCTCCAACAAGACGAACGAGCAAGACGAACGGAAATGCGCGTATCAACAAGTCCGCAGTCAATTTCGAAATTCTGCAATTACCCGCAAACACTTTATCTTTCGGCAATTTCCACTTCTTGAGGACTTTGTTCTTTTTCTCAGGTATTGTTCCCATCCTAGTTTTCCGTGCTGAATGAAAGATATTCCTCACTTGTTCCCAGTGATAAACCCAACTCCAACTAGCCTTCTTCAGAGGTTATTGCCTCTACACGGGAATAGGCTGTGTTCGTTCAAAGATGCCGCAGAGTTAAAAAGGTGCGTACTAATTTGAGGAAACGGCAAATTCCGTGGATTCTGAAGGAATGCACAAAGGGAGGGCCTGGCAGAACAGTTCCTATCAAGCCTTCTTCGGCTGTTTCGGCGATTCTTCAATTCCGCTTATTCCGCGGACCATGCGGATTCTTCGAGTCATTGATCTTACACTGTTTTTCCGTAGAATCTCTGTGTATGAGCAGGCCCGTAGTTATTAAGATGTAAAGCTGCTGTTCTATCGTTGTGCTACTTGATCGAGATACGCAGCATACTTCGTGAGAATTGCGCCTGTGAGTTCGTGTTCTTGCAGATGGTATATAAAACTTCCCCCTGCTGGATATGAAGAAAAAAGATAAGAAGCATGTTATGGAAAGAAAACAAAAGAGAAAGCGTGAGGAGACAATAGAAGGCGAGGAACCATCACCCGAGCTAGGATCAACGGCCGCTGAGGACTTAGATGGTGAATCACCGAATAATATGTGGGTTTCTGTTTTATTTTGTTTGCTCTCTAGTTTAGTCGCTGTTGACCCATTTCGTTGATCGGAACTTATAACAGTGCTTTTTAGGGAGGAAGAAGAAGGCATGGACGTTGAAGAGGCAGCCAGTAGCTCGAAGGACGACAGTTATCAAAAAGAGTTCAAAATACTCGGGCAAACGGAATTCGCGCCTCTGAAAAAAATCAAGTTCGTCTCGGTCCTCATGTTTTTTGAATGTTTTTGATGGCTTTTCAGGTTTGCGCCTGATTACCGCGTTCAAAATTAATAGGGCAAAATGAGTCATCATATTCCCTTTGAGCCAAAAGTAGTCGAAAATTAAAATGAATTACAGTGAGCAGTGAGATTAAAATGAAAGCGTCTGATGACTATTGGTTCATCCTCTTAGTACTTGATTGTCGTCGATTAGTTTCGATATCGTCTTAGTAAATGCGGACATGCTCTCTTTTCCAGCGCCACTCATCGTATCCGCTGTTCTCCTTTCCCGGCCACCTAGTTCTTCCAGCCCCTCAAAGTGGATTGGATTGTATCGGATTTGCGGGATAAAAACGCTCAATTTTACATCGGCTAACGCTTGAAAATCATTGCTTTGCTTGTGTTGTCACAGATGATTTTGCGTACGAATAGAATGCATGGCGTGTCCCATGAATTGATTGGTCGACAACGAGGCATCCCTTTACACTTAATCAGTTGCGTAGACTAGCAGTCCGTAAGTTTTGCTTCGAAAATGCACATAAGCACATGTCGAGTTCACTTAAAGTTGCGTTCATACTTTGCGGCAGCTTCTACTGGCGATCACCAACGTTTCGAGCGTCCGTTTTTTCTAATAGCGTCCAGCTATTAGGAAAGGACGCGAGCGTCTAGCAGCTTCAACCAGCAACTAGGAGAGTAGGGATACCAATCCAGCGATCGCCAGTGTCCACAGCGTCCAGGAGTGGGGAGGTAGGAGGATAGTCGGGGCTGAGTCAAGTGTATTATTAAGTAGAAGTTTATTCAAGGATGTATATGTGTAGCGGATGAAAAGTGTGAAAGATTAGTATATGCAGTATACAGCGTATAATGTGTGTAATGTAAGTTTGAATGTTTCTGGCAAAAGGGGCGTGGTTATCTGGGTGCGGGGCATGTAATGGGGTCAACTGTGTGCAGTATACATGCGGTGGGCGATTCGCGCGAGACTGGAAAAAAGCGCTTCGTAGAAGAGTCTTAAAAGAGACTAGTGGTAGAGTATGAGAGGAGGGAGCGGACAGCGTCGTGACGTTGCGGCATGAGTTACCGCACCGTACAATTTCCAAAGCACAGGTTCATGTAATTTGTGCAGTAGTACGGTGCGGTTGCACAAGCGAAGATTCCCTAGCGTCTGATCCCAGCAGCCTGCTCCTTCTACTTCTCCGTACTCCACGAACAGTCTGCTACCTTCATACTTCCCCATACACTCCGTTCCTGCTCGCTGGTGGACGCTGGTAGATGCCAGTGGCTGTTGTTCGCTAGATAGATATCCATACTTTCTAATCGCTAGCGCTGACGTACTAAACGCTGCTGGTCGCTGATGGACGCTGCCGCTAAGTATGAACACAGCCTAACACACGCAGAAATAGGAAAACCTGGAGGTTGACGGGTTGAATATTATTTTCAGAAGACAAGTAAAAAGTGTTGTCATTTTGGTTCGTGCAAGCATAAGAAGTTATTGCTTCAAAAGTCCAAACCCTAGGCTTCAGGAACGTTTGCTTTCAGCGTTACGACCTCCTGGGTGTCGAATGCTACTTTGTTTCCCGCGGAATTGCACGAGAGGAATTTAGCTGATTTATCCTCAGTATTCGGTATCCCCGATGCATTATTAAATCTAGTTAGGAAACGAATACGGTCATGGTTCCCTGTGCAAGTGAGTTGCGCTTTCAGCCTCAATTTTTCTTATGTGTTTACTTCTTTTCATCTATTACAAGAATTTCTAGAAATCAGTTCTACCTTATCTTCTCCACGACATAACTCATGTACCCCCTGTGCGACCCCGTGATATAGCTATTTCTGCCCCTACAGGTAGGCTACCTATTTATTTACCGAAAACGTTCTGCACCACAGGAAAGAAGCGTGTAATTAGAAATTTGAAGAATTTGCAAAGGTTCACGATGGCTGGGTGCGGATGATTGTTGCCAACGGCATTAGTGAAAGGGTTGCGAGAGGGCGTCTGGCCACACCTCGCTCCGCCCTTCCACCAATGACGTTGGCGCAACCCCTCGCCCCACCAATCTTGCCCTCTGCCTTTAAATGGATGTGTGCCAGCTGGCTCTTTATAGAGTATCTGCGCACCAATGTTAATATTTAGTAACGATTCCCAGATAGTTGAGTGGTGTAGACAATATTTTTAAATTTGAAACAGCGGCATTGTTTTTAGTCTGCGCTTCTCATTATTAATATTTTTACAGGATCCGGGAAAACTTTGTGCTACGTGCTCCCGATCTTGGCACAGATAGGTGCCCGTCCTTGTGGTCGGTTACGTGCGCTTGTTATCGCTCCTGTGCAGACACTCGTCAAGCAAATAGAACAGGTTTGTAGGAGTCATAGTGTTATATTATACTCACTTTTATGGCAGAGCTTGGGAAGTAGCGTCGGTTAACAGGCACATGCAGCGGGAATTCGATTCGGGGTTGGAACCCTCCCCGTCCAATTAAGCATCCTCATCATCTGCTCGAGTTTAATCGGAGCATGAACTACCTATTCGATGTGGGATAACAGCGCTCACCTCCACATTGGCCGCCCCCACCCCACCCCATGGGCTATTGCATAAGCTCATTGGCCTAAAATTTCATCGCTGCTGTTACTAATGAAAGAGAAATGTTTGGACCATCGCAAAAGCCTAACGCTGCATCGTCTAGCTTCTGTTCTTCAGTCTTAGTAAATGGCTCTCTTATCGAAGTTGATAAGCTGCACTCATTGGGTATTTTTGTCCAGAACACCCACAATTCGCAACCGGCAACAGCCGATACTTCGGAGCCATGTAAATTTTCACTGTGAGTATGTCATTCGGGTACTTCAGCGGGAATCAGAACCCTGGTTAGGTTATTTTCTCGTTGTTCGAAATACTGGTTGTGTTACGCACGTCTGACTAGCTTGCGGATGATGGAGCGTGTCTTCGCGGTTGCGTTTGGCACGTCGCCAATTCCTTTCGCGCCATTTGTCTAAGGCGATAAGTGACAACAAGTGGTGAAAAGCGACTATGAAGGATATGATACAGTCCTGTTGCTTAGCGGACCCTGCGACGGCGCGGGA